TTTGGGGGGGACACTGCTCTAGACTATGCCTTTTTTTTCATCATTGTTTGTTCTACATATAATTATAGTTGGTTGTGCTCTTTGCTTTTCTCATTTATTTCTGGCATTTCTTTGGTTTTTACCTTGATGGTGTCAAACAAGTGTCCAAGTGACAGCATTAAGTGTGATGGTGAAAACTAGTCATTTTACTCTCACCATCTTAAGAGAATTTAAATTTTACACAAAAATTAGATATGGGTGAATTGGTGCATAACCCAAGGAAGCATGATGGTGTTTAGTAACACGACCATACACAATAATAAATAGTAACAAGAAAAGCTGAGTGGTTTGAATAAAAGCACTGTTAAGTGTAGAACCATGCACGAAGTTATATTAGCTGACCTTAATAAAACAATATTTTCATAAGTGGTTTAAGCAACATTGTAGTAAAGGCAATATCTATACCGTAATCTGTAATTTGAACATTGCTTTCGGAGTGAAGATCTTCCACTGTACAGTATTGTACTACTGTATAACCAAATTTCTAAGTACAGTACCCTGTACATATTCTTCAATGAAACTCAGGAACTTCAGTTTTGAAGTTCTTGGGCTTTACTATACATAACTGTAAATAAAAATATTTCAGTGCAGTATGTGTAAAATTCAAGAATAAGCCTTCCTCACAAGTGCTTACTACTGTACTACAATGCAGCATTGCCTTTTTGTAAATATTGAGCACATATTGTATACTGTATAGATAAAGATAATAAATTTCTTATAGCATTTATAAATGCAGCCAGTAATCATTTGATAAATTTTCTAAATTGGTCTATCACTAGTCACTGATAAAAGTAAACCTGAACAATACAATAAGCAATGACTATAATAAACTATGATATTTGAGGATTAAACAAGTTACAGTAACAAGTTTGATAACAATTCATACCTGGTCTATTATAGATCACTTGCTTTGAACTTCACTCCGCTCAAATTGCACTAAAATTAAATACGTACAGGTATATTCATCAGGTAACGATTCAATCTCTAAAAGCCCCATTATAGAGTACAGTACAGTAGGCAAAATTTAAAATATCAAGCAGCTACAGTAAATATTTTAAAGTATTTGAGGTGATGATTCTTACATTAATATGAAAAGTAAAACTAGGCTAAAATCCTTGATGATCTCCCTGTGTACAGGATGACATCTTTCCAAGTGAAGGAGGCTTGCTCTTTCAGGAGCCTTAACACTACACACCAGTGAATATATTGTACATACATCTCTAAATACATCTGTTAACCTTACCTCCATCTGAAATTATAGTATATTTGCTCAGTACAATCCATTAATGTTGCACTTGACTCATTTCTGTATTGTATTTCCAAATGTACAAAGATATACAATTGAAATTCGGAGAATATTTGTTTTACTTTGATAAGTAAAATATTGGTAGGGGGTTATAATAAACACTCAGCTGACCATCCTATAACACAATAGACATGATCATATATCATATGCTGTACAGGTAGACAATATTACTGTATAGTTAGCTTCATTTTATAAAATATACATCTGACACAAATAAAACACTTGGGAGACAGTAGATCTTGGCCTCAGTTTTCATGGAAGCACAAACAATGGGAAATTTAAAGACAAGGTCCTGTCTCCAACTGGTAGTGTTTTTCTTGAGCCTCTTTAATACTGCAACAACACTTGGTGGATTTGTCACTTTTTCAAACTCTGCATCATCCTTAAACTGATTACACAGTACTTTACTGTACAGTAATTGTATTTTTTTTTCCCTTTTACCAGTTCACCAATATGGTGACCACTCGCCTAGAAGCACAGTACCAGGAAGATCATGGAAAAAAAGGAACCTTGAGAATTCACAGAAATATAAATAACTTGATAAGCATACAGTACTGTAATAGTAAAATCATGGGATAATCTAGCTGAAACACAGTGGTCACCATGTATATATGTCTTATCTTTTATTGTACTCTTCTGTCTACTCTCATACTTGTATAATTCCTCGCACCCTCATTCCACAGTGTAAAAAAATGACAATCAATTCAATTATATGTTAACTAAATTATACAAATAAACAAGTGTTTCATAGTTCCTCCAACATCAGAAATACTTAAAGGCTTGGAGGTACTGTACTATAGTACCTGAAAAATCTAATGAAGATTCAAGACATGGTAACCTTTAGTCCCTGATGTGCAGTAAAATCTCTCGAGTACACCAACTGACACTTTGCAAGACTACATTAAGTTGTGTTGGCTTTGCGTACATATACAAGCACCTTCTGAAGAATACTGTATAATTCTCAATTTTCATTCCTTCATCTGGAAAAAAAAAATACACAGGTACACTGTAACATGTTTTACAGTACAGGAAGGTCCCCGACTTACGAATGCCCGCCAATATGAACGAGGTCAAACTTTAAATTTACATTACAGGGTATGTTATTTACCTGATGACTTATTTTTTTTACTTTCATTTACTGTCTTTTGTCATTCCATTTCTTTTCTCTTAACCCTTAAGCCCCAGGTTAGGGTCCCGGCAGCCGCCACCGCCGCGGGGATAAATCGAGAATAAAATAAACTTTTCCAAAAATAATAATAATAAAAAAAATGGCAGGAAAATAGGCGGACGTTCTGGAACGTCACCCAGGGCCTAAGGGTTAAATTAAGTGATTTTAGATGTACAGTATATAAGGACTTAGGCTATAATATAGTGGGATTTTAAACATTGTTCTGTAAGTACCGTATGCACATAGAATGTGTTTCGACTAATGTACATTTTTTACTTAAGAAAGTCATTAGGAACGGAATCTGTTATAACCCAGTGACCCCCTGTACTGTACTAGTTTCACTAGCCAGGTGATGGTGTGACAAGTTTTAAAGGTTCGGGCATAAGATGCATTTTTAAAGGCCATATTGTACCATACACAGACAAAACTTTTGTAAAACTGCTAATTTATATGCCAGTTTCTGCTAACACCTAACAAATTCAACTATTACAAAATAGTTTTTGAATATCCATCATGCAAAAAGTATTGCCAGTGTAAGGCAGCTGCTAAGTGATTATTGAGTGGCAGTTTGCCTGTCAAAAACACAACAGTGCTAATCAGTTACTAGGTTTGGTGATGAGAACAAAATTTTAAATATATTGTTTACCAAATAACAGAACAAAATAATGCAATACATAAATGAAGGCCCATCAGATGCTAAACAAGCTACATGCCTAAACCCACCATGGCAGGTTTAATTTTTTTTTCTCCACACGTTCCACTGTCATTCATTGTGTGATGACTGCCACCCTCCCAATAAAATTAAGTGAACCAATGCAATTAAATAATATATTTGGCCGAAGTTCATAACAATTACCCCCAATGAATGTGTTCCAACCCTCTGGATGGGAAGTACCTATACAAATATTATACTGTATGTGAGTTTTTAGTTAAACCTTTAGTGCACAGATATGTTTAATAAGGACTCTTGTTTGCATCATAATGTGTTTTATGTATGTGATAATTTAGATTTCTGGTCCCTGGGTTCACTTATAATGGTTTTCTATACCTGATACTGTATTTTGGAATCGTGGTCCCAAGGTCCCTTATTAGCTCACACATTGATCAAGTTTGCCACACTGTCATCCCCAAAGGTTAACAAACCTGAAAGGTTCTACTGGAAAATAAATGGCTGAGCTAAAATCTAATATCCTGTCTAACATTTCCCTCAAATTGTAAAGTGTCACCTCCCAGTGAGTTCAATTACCTTATTCTGGGGTTTCGACATAATGACCAGCTCGGCACAAACCACAGAAAATATATACAGTACAGCCTTAACATTCCTGCTTAACCATGGAACTGAACTCGTGTCTCTTGTGTTGGGAGTCTAGATCATTACCATTAGTTACGGCACCTCGAGACATTAATCCTATACTGTACTGTAGACAGATTGACTGTCTGTAAAAAATAACTAAATAGTTAACTTTTATATTAAAATGCTTGAACTTCTACTACAATACAGTACATTTAAAGGACAACTACAGAGGTAAATTAGTTCTCTTAACCTACTCTGTCCCATGTGTACAAAACAGGGGCGGATCCAGAAATATCAAAAGGAGGGGGATCCAAGAAGCTATGGGTGAGGGAAACATGGTGAGCACAGCGAGTTCACCCAGTTGGGGGGCTTTGGGTTGGCGCTGTAAGCACCCCTTGATTTTTTTTTTTAAATCTGACCAATATCATGGGCATTTTGAGGCTATTTTGAAGATATGTGCTCTAGGTATTCGGAGATATTCTGAGGTCAATAGTAATTACTTTTACTATACAAAAATGCCTGAGTAGAATACTGCATTAAAGTAAAAGTGGAACACAAGGAACATGAAACATCAACTGATGATGACCAATGTCCCTACAGCTATCATCCACTGATAATGCCCACCATTTAAGGGTTAAGTAACACCCACTGGTTTCAAGTCTGATATTTTTGCACCCACCAAAAATATGAAACGTGCAGCCATTTTCTCGGTATTTAATTTTAAAATGTAAATTTCCACATAAAGGTTAAACCAAAAACTGAGTGGCTGTAATATCACTCTAGGTTGAAGTAGGAAAGGTGCAGCCAAGATATTTTGCCTTACAATACATATCTTACTTATGTTAAAATCATACTTTTATGATGTTGTAGTGGATTTCTCCCCAACAAACGCTGTTTGTCGCTGAGTAGCCGACCCCGCGAATTCCACAGTGTATGCCTCGTGGTCTAGGTCAACCAGCTCCGCCATACATCACGGAGGTCAACTACTAAGCCACGGCTACCCCTGCTATTTAAGACCTGACCTCGTGGTGACCTCTCTCTTCTAGCTACAGCTGCAGCAAGCAACACCTCCTCCTCCGCCGCTGCCTGGCGGCCCTCGCTCCCGCCGGCGAGCATGGCGACCCACAAGCTGTCCTCCTCTGAGCACCCTCTAAAACCAGCTCTCTCTACATCACGCTTGTAACCACGCTGCCACTTCCCAGCACCAAGCTGCATTGTACATCCAATACAACATGTATACAGTGAGCACATTGTGAGTGTCCTTCCTCCATCCCATCCTGAGTGTGAACCCAAACAACCCGTACCCCACAATGTCTCCCATTGTTAAAGATACTAACTGGAATAAAATTTCCTAAGCACCACTTCAATACTGTATTTACACAGTAGATCAGAATTTCTAATTCACTACGTTCTCTCAAAATTAAAGTTTTGTAAAACCAAGAGTATCGGTAGTGCAGTACTGTATACTGTACACGTAGACCCCAATTTACGGATTATTTTTTTAAGATACGCTACAGTACTGTACTAATTTTTTTTTCTTTATAATAGATTGCATCAATTTACATAAAAAAACCCTGATACAAAAACTTTTTTGTAACACTGGAGGATGCTGAAATAATGACAAAGGACAGTAAATAGTGTTGTCTACTCTCATGATTTGTAGTATCCTTTTTGAAGAGCTTGTGGTGTACAGGATATTCAGAAAAACTATGTATGCTAATATTACTGTTAGCCGGAGCTCTCCAATGCCCAGAATTAAAATTGACTTAGAATTTTTCCAGAAAAATTTTCTTAATTCCGGGTCTGTGATCAAGTTTCCGAGGTTAAAAATCAGGCGAATTTTCTGAGAAAAATACGAGGAGGTTCCAAGAAAATCTCTCTGTTTTGGGCATGCGAATAATTTTTTCTGGAGTTCCGAGAAATTGCATCATGCTCCATTGCATCCCCACGTGTCAGGCTCGTGGGTGGCCTAGCTAATTGAATCGCTTAGTTCATATTCTGCTGACATTGTAGAAGGTTGTTTCCTTGTGAGCTGCTGTTTGCATATAATTTATGTTGTGCAGTGCTGTACATAACTGTACCAGAAAAAAAATCAGTCAGCAATATTGTACAATGTTAAAGCAGCGTTACGTATGTAAAAAGTGATTACAGTCACATATACTGTACTGTACATTCAGTAAGTGGGAAACACTGGACCACCTTAGCTTTCGTCTATATTCAAGACACCTTCAGGTCATGAGACCCACAATTCACCCACCCTAACAATGGGTAACCTGAGTTTGCATCAAATCAGTAATATGAACCACTAATTCCCCACACCACCTCCATCGCAAGTGTTCAGACGTGATTACAGTAACATATTACATTCAGCTGAGTGGACAGTGTCTGCCTACACAGGTTTAAGATGACAGCATCTGCAGGCGAGTACAGTATTATACGTATACAGTATAGTACAGGTAGTAGTATACTGTACATAATTATGTTTACAGTGCAGTATTAACAATATATTGTACTGTATGTGTATAGTGGTGCTTGTGTGAATAAATACAGCTCCGTGTGAGATCCGTCGTTTAAACTCAGGAAATTTTCCTGTGAAGAGCGGAAAATTCCACCGTCTTTGCTGTAACTCACAACTCCATTCATGCCTGTATCAAACATTTTTTTTTTAATACATTTATTTAACCAAACTTTTAGATAACCTATTCAGGATTATGTTGGTAAAAAATGGCATGTCCAACTTAATTAGAACTGATTTTACTGACTCCAGGATAAAAATTTCTTACACTTTTTTTTCTATAAAAGAAGTCACCATCAATTTATCATGTCAAAATATTTAGTTTAAAGATCTCATATTGGAAACATCTTGTAGAGAATTTATTCAGGATTATTATGGTATCAAATTCATCTCTCTGCCACAAAGAGAGCTCAGGCTCTCAATTGGGTCAGCCATGTCAATACAATATTGCTATTTTATCTACTTTGTATCTGTGTTTTTCAGGCTAAGTAAATTGTTTTAACATCAGTATCAGCACAATTGGAGCAGATGCTGTGAATAAAAGTTCATACAGTTTTTTGCTAGCCGTAAATATTTTCGCTCGTGCCCGCGGTCTACAATAGATGTACAGTATTGGGAGAGTGTTTGTCCATGCAAGGTGAAATGATGAGATAGTTTAGTCGAGATGAGATGCGGACATTAGTTAGACTCGCGGAAAACTTTCCTCAGCACCCAGAAATATTCAGGAGATATTGGCTAGTGTCTGTCTGTGGATGCTGTGTAGTTAGACTCTCAAACTTTTCCTAATAACTGGAAAAATTCCAGGGATGCGTGATTTTTCCTTGTTTGAGAGTTGTCTCGTTACCCGGAAATCTCTCGTCCCCAGAAGAGCTCTGCACCACTTATAGGGGATACCACTGTACTGTCCTGCACATATAAGGATATTAGTTGGGGAACAAGATTGTTTTACACCTTATAGTAATATGTCTAAGTGACGATCAGTTAAAGAGACGGCAAATGACAAGTAAGTACCCTGTATTTCATTTAAAGTAAAAGGGAACCAGAAATTGATAAAAATTCTGACTCTGATTCTACACTGCTGTACAATTCAGTACCTGTACTTTGCTTCTACCACAGTATACAGTACACACTGTACAGTACTTCATCTTCCCAGGGCCCCCATATCTACCATCATCCTACCACACCATCACCTTTAGCACCACCCAGCACAGTTTCTTGCAAATAAAATAGCTGTACTGTATATTTTAATTTGGATTAATCTCATTAATATTGATTGTACTGCACATTTATTATTATTATTATTAAGAACTATTGTTTCCCTTAATGTGCTATTAAAAAAAATATTTAAACATCTTATTGCATGTCAGATTTTTTTTTTGCTTCATATAAATGTATTTTCCAATTTATAATGGTATTCAATGGGAAAATCTGCTTTGTTTTGTGGATTTTTTCTTTGTGGACTTTTTTTTCAAGAATGTATCCTTTCCTTAAACAAAGGTCTACTTGTGATAGTGAACAAAGGCAGTGTGGGGAGGGTCAATAATAGTTCAGTTGTCTGGTGTATGTACAGTATGAGATTAAATGCAGTAGGTATTTTCTTTTACAATCTCATTATTATTTCAAATTACTGTATCGTCCTTGATTTCCATGTAAATTCAAATTGTTGAAACAAAATTAACACCAGTGTTTATACAAAAGTAATAGTACTTGTCATAAGGTAGTAATAACATGTGACTTTGATAAAGATTGTTGCCAATATCCCTTCATTAAATTCACAACTGAGAGGTGAAGTTTTGGAAATGTTTTCAAACATTTAATTTTTTTTATTACCATAATATTATATCTCCCCCCTCATACTCATCTATTTTGCAGAAAATACTGTATCAACAATAAAATAAAAAACTAAGGCACTGGAGTTGACCTCTAAATCTAAATTAGAAATATTTATAATAAATAGGAGACTTTATCCAGTTGGTAAATGATAGCTGTGAGAATGTTGCATGTGATAATACAGTACAGTACTATGATTATTTTACAGTATATTATTTGGCAAAGGCTACCCACACTCTTCCACTATATAGAAAAATTATTATTTTATGTACCATATACCCCTGATTACCTAAAGAGATGGGAGATAAATCAGTTGTGGAAAATAATTTTTGTCAATAATTGATGCCATACAGTGATGCAAATCAAGCCAAAACTGACCAAGTGTTGCCATGGTATAATGTATTGGGGGTTTTAGGAGGTAAAAAACATCATGACAAAAACTATCCCACAACTATTTTTCTTAAGATTTCATCCATTTTATAGACAGTACTGACCGCACTAAAAACAATGGGGCTGGAGTTGACCTTAAGTGTTTCTTGGGGGGAAAAGTTCAAACTACAGTAGAGTTCAACAAAATGCCTGTAGAACTAGTCTCTATTATTTTTTGTTTCCTTGACTTGCTAAGTCATTTCATATTCATATCAATCAACTTAAAGCACAATGACAGCAAATAATAAGAATTACAAATATTAAAAATCTTTTCATATATTGTTCCATTGGCTGATGAGACTGCACATGCAACTGGCTTATAACAGATTATTTTTGCAATTTAATGAAATATATTTAAAAAAAATGATGGATGTAAAATATTTAATATAAAACCTTACTAACAACTGGGCTCCCCTCTTGAACTGCATAAATTTGTTTGGTATTACCCAAATAAACAATTAAAAGTGGGAGCACCTAAGTGAAGGGGTTAAGCAAAAAGTCGATGTGTTAAAAGTGAAATCAAAATGCTTGCCTCATTGTGTCTTACAAACAAACTCATAAGGTATCACAATGTGGTTGGTCCATTTATGATGACCAGATATAACCATCTTCTATCAATCAATATCTAATTAATATGAAGATCAAGCAATAAATATATGTTAAAATATTCATCTAATGAAATTAACAAAAATAAAAGGATATAAAATATACTTATAAAAGATTTGGTGTATTACATCAGGTAGCTGTGCATTTAAGGTGGCAAGGATGATCAGTAGAAGCATACATATACAGATTACTTTAAGGATTAAATATAATTGTAAAGCTTAATGGTCAATTTAAACAAATAATAAAAATGACTTAACTGATATGAAATGCTGGGTATGATCTTGCTAAATCTAAAACCAGAGTTAACACATTCCAATCTGTGGTGTCAGGAACAGTTCATGACATACTTCTTCCTCATGTTTCCTCTTACCACTGACCTGAAAAAGAAACCATATCATATACTGTACAGTATAATGGAAATTTCAAAACTGTACTAGTAAAATTGTTAATGTATTTCCTAGCTCTAGATGTTCAAATTAGTGTAAATACTATAAACAAACCCTTGCTTAGTTGATCCAAGTTTTTTGAAGCAAGATTCAAACCTGGCTTGTTGTCCATAAAGCCAGAAAGTCGATTAGGTACTACAGTATATGACAAACCCCAAAGTTGCTCTCTTGACTCACATCCCAGACACATTTATGGTAACAAGGTATCTTGCAGCAACCTTTACACTTTACCTTCCTCTGCACATACTTTTACCATCTGTTGACTACATTTTGACTTTTCTAATGGATTTTGTAAGGGCAAGTTGAATTTTTCATGGGTTGTTGGGAATATAGGTTTTCATTTCACTCAATTATTTGAAATTCATTTAATCAGGTTTGCCCAATCCAGTGTTGGAAACCAGATACTGTACTGTATCATAAGAGGAAACCCGAGTCCCCAGAGAAAGCCTACAGTGATTGGGAGAGTCTCTGTGCAAAAAACCCTTATTATATATCACACTCAAGAGAAAATCAAACCAACAATGCAGTAATGAGAAGCAATTATGCTACCACTGTACCAGTGAAACCATCTAAAATCATTTTACTGCCTTATTTACATAATGGATACCCAAACTAAAGGTGACTATGCCAAGGGAAGTAGGCCAGTTGCCTGTACAAACTCTCAAGTGTTCTCGTTAAAGGCTATTTTGAAGCCCAGTACTGTACTGTTGTCATTTCCACAGCTTGAGCTGGTAAACTGTATCATAGGTCTACCATCGTTTGTGTGAAGAAACATTTCCTTATATTCATCCTCCACCATGACATCTTGGGAAGTTTAAAGTTGTCTTCTTGTGTTGGTGGTACATGACACCACGGAAAAATTTCCTAGGTTTACGTTTTTCATTCCTTTCAAGATTTTGAGTGTGTCTATGAGATCTGCCCTATTTGTCTTGTCTGAAGAGTTATTAGTCCTAAAGCCCTTGACAAGTGCTAAAGTTATATTTATTCATGACCCTTGGAACACTGATAATGTGTCAGGTGCAGGACTGATATATCCTAAGTGTATGTGGTTAATTCCACCACCGTGGTAGCCTTTCCATAACATGTGGCCAACAATATATTTTTTGGGTATTATAATACTCAAGATTTGTGCTAAGCGATATGATAGATGTAATATCTGTAAAGAAAGTTGACTATGATAACAACATTGCCACATGTTCAGAAAGGTAATTGAGAGGTGGAAGACTTTACCTGTGGGCAACTGTACATCAACTGCTTTTTCTTATTATTAAAATGTGATGACAGGTACCATCACTCTTTCACTCAGTTCTACAAATTGATCATTCTGCTTTGTTGATTGACACACATAACCTTATATGGGAGGTTATCAAGTCCTACATATAATGCTGATTATTGATTTTCCCCCTTTATTTAGGAACTTTATTTGTATGTTACCTCTGCTGTGCCAAAAATCAGTCATTGAACAAACCAATAGTTCTATGCTACATAACTGTTATTTATATATTTTACCACAACCTTGAGTTGTCTACAACTGGAAAATTTACCTCTGCATTCCTTTAAAAGTTCTACATTCTGACTTACGTTTCATACAATTTATAAGGCCCTTTAAATAAATTAGAGGCAATTGTTAAACTAGCAAAGTGAATGATTATCCTGATTTATGGCTTAGGAAGGTTTTGTTCATATTCTCCAAACCTTACACTCCAGGAAGATAATGATCATATGAGCCTTCTCATACCATATCTACAGTAGAGTACTGGTACTTATGTTCAATGACAAACTAAGGCTTTGGTTAATAATTATCTTTATAACAGATTTAGGATTATGCTAAGGTATTATGAACATGTGATAAAATGGGAAGTGAATGATTGGTAAAACAGAGTGTATTAAGAGGTGGATGATAAGAGGGAGAACAGAAGACCAAGGAGAGAAAAGAATGGAGATGAAGGATGCAACATAAGTGAGGGGGATGGACATCCAGGAAGCAGTTAAGTTTATGGGAAGGTTACAGCAATTAATGACAGGAAACAGAGGGAGGCTTTTTTTCTTCTTAATTTTATCCACCCTGCAATACTTATGGAATGGGCATTAAAAAACAACAACATAGTTACAACTAACTTTAGCACATACTGTATTAGTGTTAAATGCCTTCAATAAGAACACTAACCTATAATTGGTTGTAACTCTGAGCTCTGAGGATGGATTAGTTGCTGCTGAGGTGAAGATGCTTCAGGCTGAGTTGTCTGTGATTGTGGTCCTTGTTGGTGAACTATATTTACTGACTGTGAAGTTTGTTGCTGATGCACAACAGAGAGCTGTTGTGGAGTCTGAGGTTGGGTTGTTGGTTGTTGGTGAACAACAGAAAGCTGCTGTTGTGACTGCTGAACTGTTTGTGGATGATTTGACTGCTGTGCAATGAGATTAATTTGTGGTGTTGCTGCCTGTTGTTGAGAAGGTCGTTGAATCTGTTGTTGATGTATTACAGACATCTGGGTCTGCTGGGGTGGTGGCTGCTGAGAAGTCTGCTGATGTATGACAGAAAGCTGCTGAGACTGTTGAGCTGCTGATTGCTGTCCTGACTGCTGATGAACAACAGATAATTGCTGATGTTGCTGGGGTGTACCTGGCTGTGTTGGCTGCTGATGAACCACTGATATCTGCTGATGTTGTTGGCTTGTGTCTTGTTGAGCTGTTTGTTGGTGGACCACTGACAGCTGTTGAGAATGTTGCGATACAGCTTGTTGTGCTGGTTGGTGATGTACAAGAGACAGCTGCTGAGGATGCTGTTGCGATGATCCTTGTTGTGGCTGTACTACAGTGTACGTCCACACATATACTGGAGCGGATGTTCCCTGTGAGATCTGTGTATGAGATCTCTGAGGTACTGACTGATACTCAGCACTAGAGGATGGAACATGTGTAGGAATTAACACCTGAGTGCCTTGAGGTGCATGGGTTCCTATTTGTGCTGGTGTACTTCCTAGACCAGGACAAGTCCAAAGAATTTGTTCATCACTACGAATGATTCCAGAGTTTTGGTCAATAGCCGTTGCTCCGGTTGCAAGGTGAGAAAGAGGATTCTGGGATTCTTGGTGTGGGTGATGGTGTTGAGGCTGTTGAGGTTGCTGCTGTTGTGGAACCAAATCAAGCATCTTGGAATCTTTTGCAAAGACCTAAAAAAAAATTTAAAGCCATCACATAACAGCAAAAATCAATTAAGTCATCGGTTTTGTAATAATCATAATTTCCGAACAGAAGTTGTATAAAAGTCAGGAAAAGAGAAGTAGTGCAGGTATGTATATTTATCTGTTTGTTTCTGACTAAAATAATGACCAGTAGTTATTAGATACAATACTATTCGTACATAAATGTGAACATGAGACTTTCCCTGCATTCTTAGCCATAACTTACTCAGATCTTATATAGTTTCTAGAACACTTGTTTAACTGTTGTTGTTTTAGAGTTAAATCTTGCGCATTTCAATTTAAATGTCTTTCCCATTACAAAGTTGTATGATGAAGAGTGGAAGTACATTAAAAATATTTTATGATATACTGTACGGTACATATAAGTTAGTTTTCTTAAATGAATACAACTTGTATAAGATTAAACATAATCTCACCTGGGTAGTCTGCCCAATAGTTGTTGAATATGATGGTGAAGGAACAGTACGTTGCTTTTTACGCTTCTTGTGGTGAACAATAATATCTCCTGCTACCTCAGATGACACAGAACACCTGAAATACAAGACAAGTAAATAAGTAAATATTGTAAAGCCTCGATAATTAGCTTACCTTTGATCCATGTGTTTTTTAACAGAAACTGCGCTGCTTACTAAGAGTTAGGCTACAAGATAAATGTGAGTGGTAATTTAATCAGTTTTTGTAATCATTAATGTAGATGCAGACATCCATAATGGTTTCTGTAAATACACAATACAGTATTACACTGATTTTTTTGCTTCAGTAAAATCAACCCTGATTTCTCTAAAATGTTGTGAAAAGTGATGGAAAACATTGCTTTGAAAAATTAGCTTAAACTGTTGTGTTAATGATTATAAACCCTGCTATATTTACAGCAGTTTCATTCCTTTGAAGTTAATGCTTTGCTCTGTCCAAAATGCATGGTTCCTGCTCATTGATCATGAGTTACAGTACTTACTTGCGCACATTGTGGCCCTGCTCTCCACACCGACTGCATTTTGTGCGGGAGTTTGTGACTCGACTAACATGAACTAAACGAGGACTCGTAGCCAGCCAACTTCTCTTTAGTTCCAAACAGATCGTCCCATACCGGTTGATAACTACTGGGACTTTTTTGAAAGAGGAGAGTGTTAGCCCACTTATGTTCCTGAAAACAATACAATATACAGTAGTGTGTTAAAAACAAAGAGATATAAAATTCTAAATGTTTATAAGATAAATATTCACAAGATGATTCACCACTAAAAATGTGGAACTAATGTTAATTGCTGCAAATAATTTAAACATACAGTAATATTAAAACTGTCTTATCTATGAACTACTATACTGTACTGTACAGTTTTTTTGTTTTTTTTTAAATATGGTACTGTATGTGAGTGCATGTACAAGTGTGTTTATTTTGAAGTTACTTAATTGAAATTCTTATTTTTCAAACACTATACCAATATAGGTTTAAAAATAATCCTAACATACTATACTATACTGTACAGTACAGGCATATAAAACTTCAAGACTTTCTCTGAGCTGTATAAAAAATGTACCTATGTATAATACTGTACTGTATGTCAACCTAATTTCACTCACCTGTAGTCTTTCCGTATTTCAAGTGAAGAATTGGCAAAGAAAACCTTAAAGCGAAGAGGTGTACCACTTGGCAGAGTAATGTGAAAGATCTTATCAGTTATTGCTGCTCTTTCTTCATCAATGGTCATAATAGCAGGATGTAATGCAGTACCTTCAGCTACCAGTGCCTTCATCAGAGGTCTGAATTGTATTGTATTTGAACTTGATTTGTATATAGAAGTGATTTTGTTTTCTACAAGAGCGTGCAGGGACTGAACACCAAAGAAATAAGTGATCATCTTGCTCTGAACCCCACGACCACTTCCTGATGAGTCGTTTTTATCACTAAAGTTTGTCAAGTCTCTCTTTTCTTCACAATAATCAAACATATCAACTCTTATGCAGAAATCTTCATCAATCTCTTGTATTTCATTTTCAATAGAATGCGATAATTCTTCAAGCGTTTTTGCAACAGCATCAAAGTACCGCCATCGGGCACCCATGACACCGGTCCGTGTATTGTCTCCTTTGCTGGTACCTTCTGGAGAGTCTGTGATGGTGAAGTATGAAGGATGTGTACTTTTTTCATGCTGATAAATAACTGGTCCAGAGTCTCCATCAGTTACAAAATACTCCAGGTACTCTGGGAAGTAAGTCTTTTCTAATTTATCAATGATGAATGGAGGTTTTAACACTGACTTTTCTAGCTTTTCTTTATAATAACTATATTCCTTTCTGTATTGATCTTTGGTCTGTTTGAGTAAGATCCTCTTGGCGAGACACTCCTCTTCCGTAAGTGACATCCCAACGTTGTTCTTCTTACACCATATATCCAACACAAGATTCTCTCTTGCACGGTCACCAGCATCCCTCAATGTCTGCATCAGCAAGAAAAACATAGCATCAATCTTATCTTCCTTGTGCACCTGGCAAAACTTGTCAATATGAGCAATCAGAGGTTTAAGACGATCTTGTCTAATGTACTTAGCATTCACAGAGCTAAGAGACTGTTTTTGGTATGGTGTTCTGCCCCCCAATTTCTTAGGTAACACAAGAAATTGGCTAAGTGTTTCATCCTGGGTATAATCATGCTCTTCCAAACCAGTCATATTCTCTAGTCCACTGTCTAGTTCTGTCTGACACCCAACAGTTCTTAAAAATATCCCTTGATCTTCCCAGTTTCTCTTGCGAGCTGAATTTCTCCTTGATTCTAATAATGTCTGAGGTCTGGAGTTAACCCTTGTGTCAGTATCATTGTTCTGGTTTTTACCAACTTCAGTAATTGCATTTATTTCTTGCTTGGATAATTCACATGAAGGCAAACGAGGAGGTGATGGCGTTCTTTCTTTCAATAAACACACAGAACAGTTAACTTTACTATGCTCAACAAATTCTGCTGGCTTTTGTCTAAATATTTCACATTTTTTCCTTTTTGAAATTTTTGAATACAGTCGTTTTATTTTTCTCTCACAACTAAGACATACATTGACAGGATAAATATCTGAATTTTCATCTGAAATATCTACATTCCAAACTTTTTTCACATGTTTAACTACCTCATGCTTTGGAACACCTTTTTTAGGACCATCGTATTTTACTGTCATTTCACCACATATTCTACATATTTTTCCAAGCTTTGTAGTGTGCAAGTCTTCACTCGGCTCATCAGATTCTTCATCGTCAAAAACATTTTCAGCCAGATTGTCAATGCTTTGGCCTGTTAGACTTCCTGGCTGATTTTGTGAATCAGTGCTGTGTTCTTCATTGTTCAACTCCTCAGAAATACTGAGTCTGCTGTCTTTCATATTTTCTGACTTTAAAGTATATATGATACTTTTATCTGGTGCACTTTCTGACATTTCAGTGTGTGTATTACTGCTGACTGCCGTATTTTCTGACATTTCAGTGTGTGTATTACTGCTGACTGCTGTATTTTCTGACATTTCACTGTGTGTATTACTGCTGACTGCAGTATTTTCTGATATTTCAGTGTGTATATTACTGCTGACTGCCGTATTTTCTGACATTTCAGTGTGTGTATTACTGCTGACTGCCGTATTTTCTGACATTTCAGTGTGTGTATTACTGCTGACTGCCGTATTTTCTGACATTTCAGTGTGTGTATTACTGCTGACTGCCGTATTTTCTGACATTTCAGTGTGTGTATTACTGCTGACTGCCGTATTTTCTGACATTTCAGTGTGTGTATTACAGCTGACTGCCGTATTTTCTGACATTTTAGTGTGTGCATTACTGCTGGCTGCCATAGTTTGTGAATTATCAAGACATACATTACTTATGTCTTTTGACATTTCCTGGTGTGGAATGTCTGTATCTTCTACACATTGTGTACCATCAACCAGTGCACTGGTAATATCTGCTGTTCTTTCTGATGTATTTTCTCTGACATTTCCAGATGGATTAATTGTCTTTAAACTAATGCCAGTTGTATCATCTGATGATATATTATGCTTAATGCCGAGATACTTTGCATCCCCCGGCTTATCATTACAGTTTACATTACTGTCTTTTCTACTTCCTGAATTACTTGGAACTGCATTTATATTTTCTTCATGGGTGTTGACATTCCTGTATATTGTATAACCATTTTCTGTTGTGTTTCCTTTACTTTGCTGCTGTTGTATGTGGTCAGTTAAACTGTTCTTCATACTCGGGTCTTTATTACTAACTGTAGAAGCTTCTGGTTCCTTAACTGATGAAGGTAAATTTTCTTGTTGCTGACATCCAGGTGTAACATTACCATCTACATTAACCCGAGGCATTGAACCTTCCATTATGCCTGTTTCCACATATTCAAAATATAGGAGGATATTTCCTTGCCATTTCCTAGCAATTTATCTGAAAGAAAAAGATATTGTATTGTATAGTACGGTATACAAGTTCTTACATGTTAAGTACCCGGTAATTTATTATACCACAGTCAGAGCAAACTACTGTATGCAACCAGGTTTTTTTTTTTTTTAGGTTCTTCCCCAGTTACATACATATTATAATAACACTGCAAAATTCAGTAATATAAATCAATGAAAGAAATATAGGCTACTCTAGTTTCAAAGGACAGTATTTACATAACAATACGGTATATGAATATAATTTCATATAACATGAAACACTGTAGTAAAGTTAACATCATTACATACCATCTTCAGATAAGTTTCTGGACTGTTGATGTTCTTCTGTCCTCAACTTAACATCTGCAGAAGAAAAAAATATATACAGTAAAACCCCCACAATTTGAAGTAACGGGCTCTGGCTCTTACGAATTACAGGTTGGACCTCGCTAATCCGGGAAGCTTGGGACCAGACTGGTTCCGGATTAGCGAAAATTCCGAACCATCCAAGCCAAGGTTAAAAGAAGGCAAAATAATGCATAAAATGTATTACTGGTATCTATACAACTTACATCAGTATACATCTAGCCCAGGCTTACTGAACCTCTTTATGACAAAGTGTTAGTGCTATGGCACACGTTTACTGTACCGTACTGTGACACAGAAATAATTAGATTAGCAGAAAAAGCAGGGAGAAAATTGTATGTTACAGTATAGGCCTACTGATACCTGAAAACTAACGACAGCCCGATTAAAACAACGTCCCAAACCATCGAAGCTGCTGGACTACCGGGGCCTGGATTAGCGGGATCCAACCTGTATGGGATTTTTTTAATTATGAGGGACACTTTTTTCAAGGGGAAAAAATGAAACAATGAAACTTTTCTGTTCTGCCAATAAAAATTTAAACGTTCCTCAGTACAGTACCAGATTTACGGTTATAAAACATAATGGCTCAACCACTGGGGAACGATGAAAAAACAAGTAGAAAAAGCTTGCTCGGTAAACTGTAGACCTTGACTGACCGATCGACAGGTCCGACACATGTATTTCGTAATAGCAAAACATTTCAAATTATGGGTGATTTTGAATTAGAGGGGGGCAATTATGGGGTTTTTACTGTACTGTATACAGTAGCTATATTTTTAATATAAAGATTAATACTGTACTTTAGTTACAGTACACATTTTATGACTGTTATTATGAGAACAGTAAAGAGAAAATTCTTAAACTTTGGGAAAATTTTGACCTGACAAAAAAATTAAATCTATTAAATAGATAACAGTACTGTACTACTGTAGTTCTATACAGGCCTCTTGTTTGTGGTGTTAAACTTGACTTAAAGTGTATGACCCAAATATGATTTTGGACCTACAGTAGTATTGTATGATAATTATAATAAGCTCAGTTAGTATTTAGGTATGATATACTTTCCCCTAGATACAGCTATACTCCCCATTTTGACAGTGATTCTGTGGTGCTTTAGATTTTAATGCATAAAGAAATATAATAACTAAATGAAATAGAATGGACAATATGAGTACAATGCTTTACACTTTACTACAGTAGTGGCAATGAAGGGGAATCAGGAGTTCAACCCTCCATTCATGACCTTAAAAATAAGTGGGGGAATGAAGAGGGGTGGTTTATGAGGGACACTTCCCCCATTGTTGCTAATCACTACACCATCAAAACAACTTACCATGAACTTCAGTCTTATATCTGATTTTCTAAATTGCAGAGTTCCCAGAGGCTTCATCACCTAAATCCTCCACTGGGACAGTGCCCCTAAATGCCACACCTAAAAATCTTGGACTATACAGTGATGCTGGTGGCAATAAAATAACCCCGTGAGTACTTCTGGCTACACACCAAATCGACTTTCCAGCACATTGTTATTTTCTACCTGAGGAGATGTTGATATTATTTGAGAGCAGAGAACTACATGGACTGTCCACAGCTCCAAGCAACTGAGGTAATGTCCACCTTAAATACTGTAATACATTTTATATGTGGCTATCATTCCCTGATCTGATCTGAGTGTTCTCCTTGCTAATAATGTGTATGTACGTACGATTTTTCTTACTGCTGAAGCCTACTGGTATGTGCTGAAACTACCCCAGGTTTGTTAGGATAAGTGAATGTATGCGTGGGCTCATAGAGGCAGTGGACTGTAACTGCATCACTGACTCACCAACCACATGTGCTCTCTCTCCCCAATATGATCTCGGCACATACACACACACAAACGTCTTGGACACTCGAGTCAGCTGGGTGACTGCCCACCGTAAAGTGTCTAATCTCCCGCGGTTTTCTATTGTCTTTCATGTGCATTCTTGACCTATCATTGCTATTGTTTTAGCCATGAGTTCAAAGTGTAGCGGTAAACTAAGTGCTGTCCATAAAATGAAGTGGAGGAGCTATGGACTGGACGTGAATTAAGACCTTATTCATTGGAAGAAAAGCGATGAGCGTGTGATAGATATCGCGCATGCTCTTCAAATTCCTGAGCATAAATGATAACAGGTATAAAAATAATCTTTTTGAGTATCCTTTAGTATTCTATGGTTCCATTCAAACCTCTATTTCCATTATATCTGATGGCCAGAAATTTCCCGCTTTAAGTGGATTTGCGTAAAGTGGCGATTTTTCAGTCTCTAATAGCCTTGGATAATGAGGACGCCCTGTACTTGATGACAGCTGTTGGGTAAAGCCGGACTGAGATATAACCCCCACCATTCACTGCTGTAAACCCGGGGTGCCAACCCAGAAAATGCAGCAGAAACTCGGGGATGAGCATAGCTCTGGTGACCTGGCTACCATCTTTGAATTAAAGTTTTATGGCTGGATGCCTTTCCTAATGGCAACCCACAAGTGAGAACAGCTGGCAAGCCAGGGTCGCAATTCCTTGAGGTTAGGAGGTCAGGACCACAAAAAAATATTTTTAACAGAAAAATACAAATTCTATATAATTATTACAAGACCAATCTAAGGGAACTCTCAGACTGTGTATACAGCATTCTTTGAATTATAACACATGTGCTTTATTACCCCAGGCTGGGGTAGCTCCTACACCGCTACAACAGAAATCCGCTCTAGAATATGTATACTGTATAAAGAATATTTTGGTGTGTGATTTTGTTTGGGTATTTCAGGAAGAGTATTGTAAGTTATCCAGCTACAGTACTGGAGGAAATTTTTCTACAGAAGATAAATACTTTCTTACCTCATGATAATTATGATATTTGCAATATTTTACATCCTGAAAACTTCTACACACACACACACTACTTCTTGGCAACACCATCTTCATTGTTTACTATGCTGAACACTTCTTTTCTGACCTCCGTGCACCTGAACAACCAATAACTATAAAAATAAATTGTATAAATGGTAATAAAAGATTTTGTTTAACTCTTTCTAAATTGTTTAACAATATTATGGTAATTTCAAGAAAATAATAAGATTTGCAAAATTTCATATTACATACGGTACATACTGTATTGTGCTTATTTTTTCCTGATCAACATTTCATACACACAAACACTTCCATTGAGGAACAAATTATCAAATCTCATTACAATACATTAAATGCTTTGTTGGAGATAAAATGAACCAACTTAACTTACCTAAATTAAGCACAAAAATGAACATGACAATAAACAAAACCTGACTAAACAACCTAACCTACCTAACCTTACTTGACTTCCTAACCAGGGGCTCCATACACTCCTGACCCCCAGTTTATTAAGCATACAGAACTTATTTCTTAAAGCAGCATTGTGGATGTAAAAGTATGAAAGGTTGTTGCACTGAAACACACATTTCTTCTTCACTGTCAGTTTTCTGCTGCATTTTGAACACTTGCACGTCCTGCCAACTACTGTAGTCCATGTTGACAGATGATCTCTTGGACACAGTCTTCATCCTCCACAAACACTGATAACTTGCAATACGTTATCGAACATAATGTCATTGAAAAATAAGATGACTTTCTTGTCCCTGGGTCATCCTTGAGGAAGAACAATAAGTAGTATACGAACATACAGTTCACTTAGAATCCAGTACTATTAGAAATGTATCCAAACCCATAATATGGGATTTTAATCCAACTAGATGAATCTCGTTCCTTATACCCTATACATAGAATAGCTTAAAGAACCAATTCCATGAACAGGAAAAAAAATAGACTTGTGCAGGCTATAAATACAAAAAAACAGGAAAATGGAACCTATAAAATTGAAAATAAAAAACAATTAATTCAATGTTTATGGCAATAAAACCCTAGGTGTGATGCCCCGTTGTTACTTGAAAATGTTAAAAAAAACTGGATTTGAGATATTTGACAGTATTAATTTAATAGCGGATGACAACATGCAGTGCCAATAGAGAATTTTCAGCATAATTACAGAAAAAAATATTTAATCACATACAAAGCAACTAGAGACATGTAATTACTCTGTACTGCCGTATGATCAGTTTTTATTACTTAATGTACTATCATTCAATAAAACTGTGGAAAAAATGAATGCTTTACCGTTTCTGTGAAGGAGATTTAATAGTTACTGTTATATAAACCTTTATGAAAGTTATGGATATTACCTGTTAAGAAACTATGCCTTGAAGATGCTCCCAAACACAAGGGCATCACTTTTGTTTATAGTCTGTGTTTGAATAATCCGTCGCTCTCTCTAGCTCTTGTATATTGAACCAATCAGAAGGTGGCTCTTCCTGTGGCTGTATTCTCATTGGTGAAGAAAACCGATTTGGTGATATTTAATGAGAATAACAAAAGCTTTTGTTTATCCACCAAATTTGGGTTAATGAATATCAACAACATATAGTTTCCATTGTTCTGTTATGATCTATAATATAACTACTGTATTATTCTTTTGTAATCAATATGTCTGAAATGCAGGAAACACACGCGATACCAGACATGTCTGTATATTTGTCTTATAATAAATTTGAAGATAATGAAGGTCACTGACACTGTGGAACTTTACATTAATAAAAGTTTGTTGCATGGATCCATTATTTTGGAATCAAGAACCAGTATTGAACATTATTAAATAAATAGAAAAGAAAAAAGACGACATATTTACCTTCATGTTCATTCTGTATTTACTGAGGTGACCCTAGGGCCCAGTGAGGTCACTGAATGTCAGGGGAGTAATTACCCCAGTAGACAAAACATACGTCATTGCAGATTTAATAAACATTCCTTGTATACTTCTTTATAACTGTAACATAATTCCCGAAGGTTAGGTTAGGCTAGGCTAGGCTAGGCTAGGCTAGAGAAGTGTTCATAAACTGTAAACAAATAAAATAATTATTTTAAATTTTATTTTGTCCTTGGGGGCTTTTGTCCTAGGGGACTTTTGTCCTAGGGGCTTTTGTCCTACACACACAGGCCAATGGCCCTTTCCCCTCACTATGGCCATCTTTAGTTTTGAGTGGCCATTAGGTAAATAAGGTGAACATGTAGGTGTAGGGAAACTAAAGCAGGCAGGGTCTACCTAAGTTCCCAATAGGGTCCAGGGGTTCCTACCCCTAGAGCACACAGTAGATATTTTTAGGAAATCGATAGCTTTCCAAGGGAGAATTTTATTAATTCTTAGGTTTAATCTAATTATTACAAGTATAACAGAAGGACTACAGTACAAATTAAATTTCATTTCAATGGTTTGTTCTGAGAGTCTGGTAGGGAAAAAAGGGCCTCTTAAGATAGCAAAAAAAAAAATGGCCAATTAAAAAAGTTTCCGCTCCTCGGCGTTACCGTAAGTGCTGACTGCTGAATATACCTGTGGTCGGCGATAATGAAACAAACCATGTTGAATCGATAGGTATTAGAAAATTCGTGAAATCACTTGCCAGGTGTGTGATTCTGTAGTTGGTATGTTTGGCATAATTGTAAGTAAAATGTCTATCTTAACCTATCCCACAAAGAATATTTCTTACTTATCTATCCAATTATGTCCTTACAAAACGTTACTTCACCAAACTAATTATTCCCATATATATGATGTATAAAGCAGACAACTTTTTTTTTTATTAAAAACGCGCCTATATTTCTTTTATTTTTTAACTTTTATCCTCTTCGCCACTGATAGGCTCGTTAGCCGCTTGGGCGGTCGGTCGCGTTTCTGTTACGCACTGTTGGCAAGTACTAGCAATGTGCTGGCTCTTGAATGCATCTGAACCTGCTTCAGTGCTCGTCAAGTCTGGTCTTGAAACAGCACCGTCATAACACTCTCCGTCAAGTTGTTCCAAGAGCTCACAAATCTCACTCGGAAAAAGTTTGCCCTCACAGTTTTCTGGGTTTGCGGCTTCTTCAACATTGAGCTGTGACCCCTTGTGGGGCGGGCGTCCGCCGGTTTCAGGTATGAGTAGTGCCCTTTGAGATGTTTATACACCTCAACTAGACCCCCCCCCCCTTGCCCGTCTGTAGTATAAGCTAGGCAGTTGCAGGCGCTCTAATCTCTGTGGATAGCTGAGGTGCCAAAGTGCAGGTACCAGTCTGGTGGCCCCTCCTTTGGACATTTTCAGTCAACTGACAGTCCCAAGCATATCTCGGGGCCCAGGCGGGGTGACAGTTCTCCAGGCATGGAAGCACCTCACTCTTGAAGATCGTTACGAGAGACTTACCGTCTAGATATCTAAACGACCTTCTTATAAGGCCTAATAATTTAGTTGCTTGATTCACCTTCTTCTCACAATGGCCCAAGAACTTCAGCTCATTGTCAACATGCACACCTAGTTCCTTATCACATTGTCTCAATTACTGCAATTTCCTCGTCCCATTTCTTCGATCATTCCTGAATCTCAGAGATCTTTCTGCAGCTCTTCACATTCTGTTTGGTTCTTAATTTCCCTGAATAACTTGGCATCGTCCACAAACATTTGTATGGAGGAGTGTATAGCTTCTGGCATGTCATTTATGAAACAAACAAACAACAGCGGACCCAATACACTGCACTGTGGTATCCCGCTTGTCACTGGTATATATGACGATTTCGTACCATTAATCACCACACACTGCTTGCGATCATGCAGAAAGTCTCTGGTCCACGCTAGGACACTTCCTCGAATCCCGTACCCTTCCAGTATAATTCTCAGCCTTTCATGGGATACTCTGTCAAAAGCCTTGGCAAAATCTAGGTATATATTGTCAATATTGCCACTCTCTTCCAGAATTTGGGCCCAAACATCCAGTACCTTGAGTAATTGTGTTAAGCGGGAGCGCCCCGTCATAAAACCGTGTTGGCAATCCTTTACAAGGTTGTTTCGTAGTAGATGTTCCATCGTGGCTTCTCTTATAATGTTCTGAAGTGCTTTACATACTATGCTGGTCAGGCTCACTGGTCTATAATTATTAGTGGAGTGACGATCGCCCGTCTTGAAGATAGAACTCAAATAAGCTATTTTCCAATTACTGGGGAACAGAACAGGATCTTCAGGGGCTCAGCTAGTTCGTTGCACAACTCTCTTAGCACTCTGGGGTGCACCATGTCAGGGACGGGACTGTTTCTTTGTTATATGCGCGGCCACAGTTTGGCAAATCTATGTAAAAACCCTGAGAATTTAAGGGGTTTCGGCCACGACCTCCACCTCCACTTAAAAGTGCACCGCCACCACACATTTTAACAACATTTAAACAAAAAAAGTTAGTTCTTGCATTTTCAAACACGATTTTTTTTGGCCTGTGGCACTGTCAACGACATTTCATCCAGAACAGCCTTCCAAACACATACTCGTAAATGTTTTAAATTTTCAATAAGATCTTCATTAGTGTTTTGAGTTTAGTGTAAAATGAATCCTTCCCTGACACTGCGGTTAGTGCATATACTGTAGTTTCTGGCATGGTCCTATTTTGCCATAACGTGGAGCTGTAACTGCACATGTTTGATAATGACGTTCCACAGATGTGTACCAATTTCACTCAGACGACTGGCTCATCAGGAACAGCTACGAGGGCCTATTGTGCCTCAGGGTGACCATGATGGTGTTTCATGGTCACACCACCATCCTGGCCTATGATTACCAACTACAGTAATTCCTATCCTGTTGTACGTCAAGGCGTAATGTAACAATTAGTTTCTTGTTTTCTGTAACATTAAGAACAGGCCTACGTGTTTGACGTGAGTCAGTATAGTACAGTCAAGGGAGGAACTAAGGTGACGACTTTATGAATTATACATGTTGATTTTTTTTTATTTAATAAACCCCTTAAGTGTAATATGGGGCTTTGATATTTGTTTAGATGAAATATATTTCATTTACTTTTTGGCCAAGTGCTGATGAAGTAAATTTATGACTTTTCTGCAGCGAAAGTGGTTTTATGTCAATTACAGTTCACTGTAATATAAATTTTTCCCAAAGAGAATTTTTAATTTTTCAATAAAATAAATATATTACGTGGGTGTACTAATTATTAAAGGTTATGTACAGAATACACTATGCACCCTGTGTCCCAAACTGGCAGCCGAGTCTATGGGACCCACTTTTAATTTTTATATTTATGAAACAACCGAAGGTAATTAAAGAAAAATATGTACTGTATTGGGGAACAACAACAAATACCGCACAGTGGCTCGAGGGTTTCATAATTTTGCGTGACGCTGTCAAAATTCATGTACGGTACTTGCATTATGTCATCTGTATAATCCGTTAATGATGTCATGTAATATACGGTATAAGAAGGCAGTTGCATTTTCATGTAACGCCGGAATTTCCTATTTGCAACCGGCCGCTGTTCTTCTGTTAGGCGGGAAGTTTCAAACTTCCAAGGTCACACTCACCTGGAGCAGGTAGGAACACAGTACAGTACACATATTTTTACATATATTCTCTGTCATAAATGAAAGTTACCCTTATTTTCCTTTTCGATTATGTTAGATTGTTTCCTTGTTTTTAACTGAAATAAAAAGGGGGACAAAAATAAGATCAAATAAGGATATAAATTTATATATATTAGGCGAACCCAGCAACTGAGGCAGGATCAGCTGTAAGGGTAGGAGCATCCGTTACGGGCTATACTACCACCTCCTACCCCCTCCTCCTCACCTCAGTGTAGTAGTAAGGTGCTCAGGGTAGGGGGCTGCGTGGTGCTTGTGGCCGTCATCAGTGAATAATAATACTCTCAGGGAAACAACATGGTGTAAACAGTGATGTTGAAATGTTATTTATATATTAATTGAAAATCTTCAGGTGAGACGTGTGTGAAATTTTACACCTATCTAAATGAATTAGGTAAGTTATATGAAAAGCTTCAGTTATTATTATTATTGTTGTTGTTATTAGTTATTATCGTTATTAGTTATTATCGTTATTTCACCCAAAGAATTAAATCGCCTCGCAGTGACTTACAAGGTAACACGGGAAAGAATTCTAATAAAAGTTTTACTTAAAATTGCAATGGTAACTTTGGCTACGTCAATAATATTTCATGTAGATCCACAATGGAAACGTGGATAAGATAAATCATGATAAAATCACACAGGGAGAAGGGAAACAATGGAGCACCTTATCTTTCGTCTTTATTCAAGACATCTTCAGAGTGTAATATACAGGATAATAAGTTTAACAAATGGGGAAAATACTAGGTAAATACAGACACACAGGTAAAGCTTTCACACAGGCAAAATACAGAAAAAAACACAC